GTTTTATTTCCTTGAAAGGCATATTTTAAAAATCGTACTGTTACAAGTCTGCTGGTGTAAATATGAATATAACAAGCCTGGTATGAGTGCTTTTATTGATGTTCCACTTGGAACTCTCATTGTTTTTTTGGTCATAACTTGGTGAATAAATGGCAAATCAGTAACCTATTGTATAATAATGCCTTGTTCAGATTGAAATTGTTAAGGCCATTTGAAATGGCAAAAGCTAGATTAATCTATTTAATTGTGTTGTTTCAGCAATTCAGAAAATCATAAATATGAATGCTTAAACTAAGACAGATATCTTTCATAAGTTAGTTCCTCTGGCTTTACTGATTTCATAATTTCTTCTAAAGTAAACTTTTTTCTTATTATTTCTTACTATGAATAACAATGGCAACGCTTAGTGGGGAAAGTTGGTGGGTGGCAATTGGCCTTACCTTCCACTCACACACAAGGGTTTTATAAAGGTTTCAACTTTTTGTGTGAATGTCACTCCTTGATGGTTTATTTGTAGTATTTTGATTAATTATTAAATTTTAATTAAACGTTTATCATTTGCAAATGGAGTTTTTTCGATTGGAGAAAGAATTTACAAATCTTCATGGTTTCTTAACATCTGATTGAAAGGCAGCAGGGGGTATTTAAATTAATTTTATTTGTTATTTATAATACTTTAACAATTATTTATTAGGAAAGCCTCAACATGCTGCCACAAAGAAGTTGGAGCTTCGGAACTAGCGTGACTAATGTAGAGTGTTTTTCTAAACTTACATGTATTAGGTCTATGTTACCACCTGACAGTGAAGAAAGCGATATTTCAACGTAGCAAATGGGTATTGTTGTGGTATGTGCCAGAAGCACAAAAGAAACTTCAATTGAACTGGATTGGTATTTACCTAGTTCTCTAACAAGTTGGATTCCTGCTTGCTGTAAATGAAAACACATTACCAGCTGATGTATCTGATTTGGGAAAACTTGCAGAGATAGTGAATGGGTGGCATTAATTTCTGACCAACCTGTCTACAACGGCTAATGAAGGCCCTGGTGCTGGAACATCTCCAGTCTTAAACCATCAACATCGATCTCATTGACTTTGGCAAAGCAAAGAATCCAAGCAACCAAACAGCAGGGCTCCACTCCACTGTTGGTGCCATCTGTGGAAATAAAAGTCGAGGGAGAAAAGGATCTCAGTGTGTTGTCCCTTCACAGAGTGCAGCATGACAATAAGGAGATGGCAGATGTGTTTACATATCTGATGGAATCATTACATTCCACGAATGAGATAGAGCTTCCTAGTGCTAGGTTTCTCCACAGGGATGTTTTGTTTAAGAGAACAAAGGTGGGATAGACTCCAGCAAGGTTTCCAAGGCAACAACAGTGACGACCTGAGGGACAATAGCATCAATGAGCCAGATGGCTTTTCCAATGGTTTTCACTATCAACAAAGGGGCTTTGATCTCAATTGGACCAGAAGATCCTATGTGGACTGCAGGAGATGCTCCAGACACTAGAGCAGCTTCCAGCACTCAAATACCATTGTCAGGAGATGGCAACCAATTGAATGAAGGCTCGTGCTCTATAAACTGAAAAGAATGGTTGAGGTGAAGGGTCATGTCTCCACCACGATACAAGAGAGAGATTTGTTGCCTGTCGGACGTCTAGCTGAGGCCAAATAGAACCTGATGAGGTATTGTGCCAACTCTAAGACATCCACAGTTGCTAATCAAGATATGAAAGTGACATTGGAAGTTCTACTGTTAGGATTGAAATGATTGGAGGAAGACCTCGACAATTCTCTGGGGTGAGTGTATGTAGTATATATATCAATTAGTTCTATGTGAATTTATTTATACCTATATTGGTAATGTTTTGTAATGATGTGACACCACTCTTCTACATATGTGAGAAGGTACAAAAGAGCAGAGAGTTGATATTTTGTGTAAGCATTTTAAATGTATTATTTTTCATGCTTATTAGAAGCGAATGTATAAGTTGCATATATGTTGTAAGTCTAACACGCATCCATCCATTAGCACACATGATTTTTGTTTAAAGTCCAAGGGTTTTTCTTCATATGTTTGAGCTTTTAGTGTGAAGTACAATTATAATCTGAATTCATAGTTCGAGATTTTGTATTTTGCTCTCTTCTCCAGAGTTTTGTGATTTAGTTTTGTTATGTTAGGCTGTCCACTCTTAAAGTAGGCAGTATACCTCTGAATTTTATTTCTTTACTTTTTTTTACTTTCTGTGAGTGTAAACACATATTTACACTTTGTCATCTGTAGTAAAGGTATTTTTATGTTAAGAATCTCTTTGTTAAAGTGTTGATATTTTCATTATTAAACGTTTTTCTTTACGTAAGGTATATTATCTTGTATGTTGAAATCAAAGTTAATGTATTTTATGTTGTATTATAGAATAATGTAGTTCTTGGTTAAATGATTTACTGTATAGTGGAGTAATTTGTTGTTATAGAGTCGTGTCGTTCATGCAGCGTGTGTGTACTTTTAGGAATAAAGTTGATAAGGTTGTGGGCCATGTCGCCAGTTAATGATGATTGATTTTAAGGTTAATTTTCGGCCTGAGGACAGGCCTAAGAGAGAGAAGGTATGAAAGTGTAATATGCCGAAATATCATGCATTGTGTAATTCTATAGTGACATAAAATTTTTCAAAATTTTTGGTTACTTAGTTTATGCACTGTCATGGCAGTAACGTGTCATCCAGAAAGTTGTTAACATTACTTTGCTCTAGTAACTTCGTTTCTTTGTTCTTATTAGTAAATGATATATTTTCTGCTCGCAAGGATATTTCAGAATGTCAGTGAAGCATCCAGACTAAATAAATGAGTTAGCACTGGAATATCCTTTGCTGGTCAATTATAACATTAACTGAAAGTAACAACCCATCAGTTCTGTCAGAAAACAAAGGTCATGAGGTGACACCATCCACTGAATAAAGAAAGCGAGTTTACATTGTAGATTCAACTACACTTTCTTAGTTCAGTTCTCTACTAAATGATCTACTTGTTTGGAATCATCGTGTTAAGTTCTGATGCAACCAATCCTGCAAGAAAAAAAGCATCTGGACTAAATGCAATATAGAGGAGAAAAAGACTGTCTGTTTGTTAATGTGGGTTTGCTGTGTTTTATGGTCATTTATGTAATAAAAATTGATATACTTTCATCAACTGTCCAAAATCTTTCATTTCACATTTCAGAAAGGACCTCAGTCAGATCATCTCATTCAGGAACTCTCAATAATTTCTAGGAAGACCTGTTGTTACATGCAAGATAATCTGACATACATTTATAGTGAAATCAAGTTCACTGATAACACCACAGCTGTAAAGTTGCACCTTGTGTATGAGCGTGGAAATCAATTTTCTGCTGTGGTAAGTTAGGTGATGTTCAGAGGCTAAAACGTCCCTTGTTTACAAATGAAAATGACCAGTAACGTGGTTTGTATTATTCACCATGAAAAATTACGATGCTATGGATTTTAATTATATAATGTTATGGCTTATCAGATTTTAAGAATTAGTTCTTTCTATATCCCAAGTTTAAATGTTTGTAATGGTTTTCTTTCATTGACAGGTTATTTTAAATTATCTGGTGAAAATAGCTCAAAGTCCAGTCCACGTAGACAATAACAAATCAGTTTACTCCTTCTTTAAGTTTGTACAAGCTTCAAAACATGTACACTGTTATAAACTTACATTTACAAATGACACTTAACATAAAAATAAACTTACCTGTACAAAGCTTTCTAAACTTCATTAAACTATACAAATATGAAATTACGAGTACAAAGTGAAAGGTATTTGGGGAATGGATATACCATCTGTTAGAGCCCATCTTAGGCAGCAGTGTTTATGTGTTTGTATACGAATTTCTTCATTTGTTTTTAAACCAAGCACTGGTACTGTCACCCTTTTGAGTTTTCATAACTGCTATTGATACCCAGGTATTTGAAAGCGTCACTAAATCTGGTGCCTCTTATAAGAAGAGTTGATTAGTTTTTCATGTTTGGTGATATCACATGTTTAACATTGCGATCATTGAGATGCTTCACATGATAATCAGATTCGTTCAGAGCTCTACATATCTAACCTCATACATGAATAGTGTAGGTTGGTCACTTAACTGTTTTAATTACTATAAATGCACATCACTACCTTTATATTTTTTAAAAATTGACAAATCAAATACAAAATACCACAACAAAAAAATGTTTTGTACGTGAAGCACGAGTCCCCCCTAATTACAATATTAAAAATAAAGCTTATAACGCTACCCCTTCCTGGATTATGAAGACTTTTGAACAATCGTAATACAATAACCAAATCTTTTTCATAGTTTTCACTCCGAGACTCATGGTATACTGATGAGATGGTAACTTGTCCCTTACCATCCTGTCACTAGAGAATTTCATCCAAGATATGCAGTTCAGTGAATCCACTGGAAGCTCCATCGTTGATAATCCTTTAGAAGTTGTCTCGTCAGGGACTGCAGTCTCCTCTGAAGGTTGAGATTCTGTTGATAAGTTCTTCTCTGGATTAACTAGTTGGCTTTCCTCTCACCAAAGATGAACATGGTGAATGAATTTTGACTTGTATTACCTGTCCTTATGGATTCTGTAAAACACATCATTGCTTCTTTTCATAACAGCATATGGTCCTTCCCAACGCTTATCTTATTTGAGATATCTTCCTTCCTTGCAATGGAATTCTTGTTCCTTTCAAACTTCAGTCTACAGTTCCAAGCAATATGCCCTTTCAAGTTACACTCTAAATATTTATTTTATTCTGGTGTATTCCCTTCTTTCTGTGTAAACAGTTATCTGATCAATTCATTTAGTCCTACATTACCATCACTGGGAGATAATGTTTTAATACTGCTCGAACTGACAATCCCAAAACTTAAAGATGTGTTTTTAGTTGTTAATCTGCCACCTTAATGGATTCTAGTTCCATCGCTTTTAAAGATGTACACCTACTTTGCTTCAGAGTAATTCTCCTATCCTCGTCTGTTATGGGGTCTATAAATTGGTCATGTGCCAAGAAATCCATCACTTCATGAAGGGTACTTTGATGAGATAACTGTATAAGCCTTTCCAAATCTTCTGCATGTTCCTCTAAGATCTCTTCTTTGCTTTGTACCCTGTTCCAGAACTTTGCTCTGGTTACTTTCTTCTGGTGCATCGCCTCAAATTTGTTTGATGAGGCAGCTACTAATGCTTGATAATTGTTGTCTCTCAGCTGGAATGTTACTCAATGTTGACAAAGATGTTCCTTTTAAACGAGTAACAAGATCAATGTCTTGTTAGTCACTATTCCATGTATTCGTTTTGGAGCCTGGTATGCCTCTCATGATACTTTCCCATCATAGTTTATCAGTTTCTCAACTGACTGATGTTGAACTGTCCAACTAAATTATAGAACTTCACTTGCTAGTATAATGGCTGGAGTGATCCAGGAAAACAGATGGTACAACAGTATTGATAATAGGTATAGACTAAATAAAATTTTCTATTCCATATTTGGTAGTAGATAGGTTTCAATTGGAACTCTTGAGTTGATGCAGAGAAAGGCGTGGATGGTTTAATCTTTCCACTTAATAATCTGTTTTAAACTGTTTTATTCTGTCACTGCAATTCTTTTCTACCATGTTGATGTGTTTCTTTACTTCACTTTTGACTTAATCTTGTAATTACAGCTTCTCTGTACTTCTTTGATGTTGTTCTGCATTTCTTGATATAATCCCTCTGTACATCCCAAGCTGCTGGATGGTGAAACTCGTATTTATGCTATTTCACTACAAACACACACTAGTCAAATTGCCAAACAGAGCACATATCAATTTATTTTCGACCCGACTGTTGAAACGGGTGCCGAGACAGTTTTGCCATTGTACAGTAGATTAATTATAGAAAGCAAGCAATGAGTGGTGTGCTTTGAACATAACAGTCTTATAACAAAGAATTCTGCAGTGGGAACTATGCTGCAGGGCTATTGCCAAGATACACAGTCGTCAGATAGATCATTACTGGACATGGTAATATAGACATTAACGGTGTGGGGAGGCTCCAAGATCGTTTTAATTTAACGTACATAGCATTTATGTATAGGAAATCATAACGAAGATACTCCTACTTGAAGCAGATGTAAACCATGATAGAGCATTTCTATTAAAAATGAACACACTCAAATAGAAAGGAAGAAACGGAAATATAAATCCATAATTTATTACACAACGTCGACCAAAACACTCTGGAAGTTTGTGCTAATTGGCACACTTGGAAAAATCACTTTATACACAACGTGAGCACATATTTGAATAATGTGTGGATGTATATACCATAAGTACAGCAGTACTTATAGTAGCAATAGGCCAGATGTGCAATACAAAATACAATCTCAAACACACTGCAAACAAAATATTATAAACACTTTACACACACTGTTGACTGGTAAACAAACAAACTGCAGAGTAACAAGCCACCAAAGCACTTCAGAAGTCAGTAAAAACAAAAAGTTCACAAAACCCACATATTTGTCAATCTGACTGACTGATTAACGTTGTTGGAAAGGTATAACTCTCTCCTGCTTTCACCTTATGCAAATCTGAATGCACGTGGTTGAATTATACTGCCTTAGTTTAAAGCGTTTTCCTAAATTTTACTTATAACCTTGGTAATAACAATAACTATTTAGCAACACTACTAAAACTATGAGCTAACAATGCACTAGTAGTCATGTTCGATGATTACGTGATCAGTCTGTAGCTGTATCAGATAGGTAAATAATAATAATAAAAAAGGAACTACATAGATTCTCTAGATATAGGTTCTAATTATGATCTAATCTTTGAAATCGAAGTTTACAGTTCTATACATCTGACTCGAGGGTTCTGTGTTGGACAAAGCAAATATATCACAGTAGTCTGTGCCTAAGGGCTAAAACGTAAATTGACAAACGCTACCGCTGCTGAAGTCTGACACTGCTTTGTTCGAGCCCTCTGGACTCAAAACATGAACAATGAGTTGTATAATTTATCTTTGCATTGTTTTTAAACTAAATGTGACCTATTGACATCTAAGGTGGTAGGAAATGCCATTCCCTATGAACATGATATATGTTCCTTATTACGAGGAAATGTCCCTTATTGTCCCAAAGAGTATACATGAATTCACCTAACAGCAACTAAGAAAGGTAGAACAGTGAGAGAAAAGGTGTTACAAACCATAGACTTAATATACATGGTGAAAGACTACTTGTGATGTCATATTGTTGGTTCTCCGAGACACTATGTTTGTAGCAGTCAAGACACTTGCAGCTAAAATAGCAACAAGTCTTTCTGTTTGAAAATAGGAAAAAAATTGATAAATAAACTTAAATTTAATACTCCTCCTTTTGTATGCCAGGTGGTTTATACATCCTTGTGTAAATCTGTGTTTCGTTATGGTATAACAATATACAAGTCTACTTATGATTCTTATTCAAACAAAATATTGCAGTTACAAAACAATAAAAATATTTTACCAATAAGAAAAAGAAATAATGTGGTTGTTTATGAGCAGGAAACTTCTACTACCAGTTTTTCCCGAATGAAGGTAAAAATTGCCTGAATCACTATTTTTTTTCTGCTTTTAATTTTGCCAGAATGAAAGCTGAAAATTTGTCAGAATGACTGTATGTATTGCAAGCTAGGGGTACTGCCGCCACTCAGCCCCCACGTCCTATGCCTATGAGTTGAAAGATAGTCAAGAAACTAAAAGGAAGAGTAATTTTAAAACAGAGATTTGAATTAGTCAGTATGTAGTGCAGGCTAATGGCTATGCTCTCCCAAACAAGTAGCTAGGTCTAGCCTGGATTACTTTAGTTTTTCAGAGCTTTAGCCAAAGTAATTGCCTTTAGCCATCGGTCATCCCAGACTTGCTAATATAATTGTTGGCACTGATAACTTTGTTCAGTATGACTCGGCAAAACACTGAAATCATGTGTTGACCGGCTTCTGCTGAGCAGTTTGCTGACTACTCTGCCATCCTTGCATTGATGAAACGTGTGAGCACTTTCTCTGCCATTGCCCCACACGTCCACAAGTAAAGCATATGCTTCACACTTTCCATATTGGACAATATCAAGACAGAGACATTACCTGTGGCTGCAGTAGATGTCCTGTGAGTGGATACTCTAGTGGCATGTACCCTATGGGATGGCATGCATAACAAAGCCCACTCACTGGAGGACAATGAATTTGCCTCAAACTTCCGCCTACAAACTTCAAGAGCCTACAATGGGAGAGATTTCTGGTCTATATTGATGATGTTTTGGTATATGACCACACTTTCGAGGCAGCGTCTGAAAACCTAACATAATATTCAAGTGCACTAAAAAGGTAGGCCTGAAACTGAAGCCCAAAAACTGTTTGCTTATGAAAAAAGTGGAGTTGTCAGCCACATTGTCAGAAGAGATAAGTCTAGATGGACCAAGCTATGATAGGCATGGTAAGAGAAGGACTTAAACCTGAAATGAAAAGAGAGGTTCATTTCATGTCATATTATTGCCGATTTGTGGCCAACTTCCCAATGATAGCAGCTCCGTTTTCAGCTCTCACGAAGGTAAAAATGCACTTTAATTGGAGCGAGAAGTGTGACCAAATAATCTGATTCTTAAAGCTTGCTTTAGTGGATGCTCCAATGCTGATCTATCTCTGTCAGTACTGTGAGTTGTTTTTTTTTTTTGCATGCTTACGATATTTACTATGGAATCAGAGCTATGTCATCACAGTAACAGGATAGAGTGGATCGTGTAATCGTGTACACCAGTCATATATTCATAGTTCTTGAATGGAGATACAAGGAATAAACAGCTACTTGTTATGGTTATCTCTCTAAAACTGAAACACTACTGCCTCTACTTGTACTGTTTGTATGGTAGGAGTTTTACCATCTGAGTGTACCATGCTTTAATGAAGTGGCTCGTAAACTTTAAAACTCTCAAGGAGATGATAACACTAATTGAGGAGCATATAAATAGTGCACAAAACTTTTGGCACTTGCACAAGCAAATACGAGTTCAAGAAGGTGTTCTTACTGCTAATTCTGTTACTAGTCCAAAAGGCATGATGTTCTGGCAGAGCTGTAGCTATGGTAAGAGATACTCCAGGCTTTGCACAACACAAGGACAAGAGGACATCAAAGTGTGATCTAAGCTTGTGCCATCATCTGATGGCAGTTCCTCCGGCCACAAGTTAGTCAAGATATTTGGCATTATGGTATGTGCTACCCAGAAGAAAAAACTGATTGAGACAGAATAAACTCAACAGAGAATTTTTTAATCTTCTCGACAGAGTGTAGTTCTAGATATCACTAGTCTAAGTCTACTCACAGAAATTACAAGGGCCTATTGCTACATACTCATGATCAACTATTTTACAAAACAGGCCAAAGCATACCCACTGTCTGACGAGCTAGTGCTGATCATTGCAAATGCATTAACCAAGAATAGGATAGCATGTATTAAAACACTGGAGGAACTCGGGAACTCGACACAGATCAGAGAGCTAGCTTACAACAATCTGTTTGCTGAATTGTGTAAAGAGTTAAGTGTGGTGAAGGCTATTACTTCACCCTATCACCTCCAGTTTGATGGTCTGGCAGAACAGACAGTACAAAATATCAAGTGGATGCTTGCAAAGTTTGTTAAACCTGACAGAACTGACTGGAGTGAACACTTACCATAGGTAATAATGGCATACAGAGCAACAGAACAAGAATCAACAAGCTGTTCACCAAACCTGCTCATGTTCAGACTTTTAAAGGTATAAAATTTTAATCTGGTACTATGCATTCCACATATGATGTCCATCGAAAATTAGAATATATGATAGTTCCTAAATATTTTATTACATTTATTAAAATTTTAATTACATTTTCAATTGTTGTACAAGCACATAATAGCCGAATGTTAGTTGTATTTTACTGAAAAATATTTAGTTAAGCAAAGAGCAGAATTAGTAATCAAAAGAGGAATTATTCTGTATAGAGTATGAATGCGCATCCATTTAGGTTTATCTGGATTTAAAAGTAGATATGATTTAAGTTCTGAAATTTCAAAATATCATTAAAATCACTAATGCATATTATACATTGCTATAGTAGGATTATAATCACTTATTAGTAAGACTGTCATCTATGTACACAGAGTGGTGACAAGTAAATAGACACCGCCTTTTCAGAGAAAATGAATTTTTCAGTCATATTCACATGAATTG